ACAAGTAGGTATCTATACTGTGTTTTTCTGGTTTTAAACACTTTTTATATATAAATAATAAACTAAGCATAAAATTTAGTTTATTTTAAAAATTAAAAAAAACACTTGGTTAATGAGTTGAAATGAACAATGATGTGGAAATCCATGACAAAACCTTTAGCTTGTGTCTACATATTAATACAAAAAAGTTTTACAAATTTTAACTTCTTTCATACGTTAAATGTCTATACAATTTAAACAATTTCTTATTGTTAAAATACTATACCTTTCCAAAGGCTTTTGATGCGCTAAATTTGAAACCGATCTCAATTGCCCCAAAGGGTTCCATAGTCCCAGCTCTGATGCTTCTATGAAGCTCAATAGCTTTGCCAATTAAAGTTATTTACAGAGACACATAATTTGAAGAGGTGTTTTGTCCCTTTCTTTACATTACGCATGTTGAATTCTGGAATAAGTTTTCATTGGTTTTCAGGATCCAGGATCCCGGTATAGTTTGTGTTGTAGTTCTATACAGTCAAATGGATTCTTTCTGGATGATTCTAAACTGGTGTCTCATATAGGTTCTGGTTCTATTAGCACGGTTTCGGCTTCCTCTACTGCAAAGTGTGGTTTTCAACTCGCCGAACTGTTTCTGTCTCCTCCTTGCACTAGGATAAAGGTGAGTTTGTTTCCTCTAATGCCGCCAATCTTTCAGACATTCTATAACGGATTTTGAGTTTAAATTAAATACATTCTTGTACCTGGGTTGGTGCTTGTAAGTGAGAGCAATTTTCCCGTGGGATTTATCTCCCTCATTCGTTGGATTCCTAGTTGTATAGCAATGATGCCATCTTGAATACTGCCCAATTATGGAGAAAGGCAGTAACTGCTAAACAAGAAATCTGAGGAAAATTGGCATAAACTAAATTTTTATAAAAAGCAGCAGATATTTAATTGATTTATTTAACTTATAAGATAGTTTACTGCATTTCTTAGTTGAATTAAGATACAAAATGTCCATAGCTTTATCATAGCACAAGAAAATGCATAGAATTTTTTTGTCGTTACTGCTTTTCTCCATAGTAGGGCAGAATAGCGGTAATCTCTTTTTCCAGGTTTTAATATTTTAATATTTATAAACGACCTACCGTCTAGTTTGAAGGTGTTTTTGCAAGTTAGCTTCATTCAGGATTGTTTACTTTTACAAGAAACTTTAAATCATATTGAACATTGGTGCAATTTAAATAACCTCTATCTTAATGTTGCAAAATGTAAAATTTGTACGTATACTCTTAAATTTAATCCTATTGAGTTTAATTATTCTTTGAATAACCGTAGTCTATCGTGTTGTACCAATATAAATGATTTACGTATTACATTTGATCATAAATTTACATTTTCAGACCATATTATAAACATAAATAATTCATCTATAAAAATGTTAGGTTTTTTAATTAGAAATTGCAAATCATTTAAATATATGGATACTCTTAAAACTTTATATTTTACTTTGGTTCGGTCCAAACTGGAATATGGTGCACTTATATGGAACCGGGTTAGGGGTAGGAACGGACCGCGGGCTTAAAGTCCCCTCCGAAGGACTAATACACAATAGGACAAACACAACACAACACAAACATATTTATATAAACCTAATTGAGAGAAAGCAACGAAGATTTTTAAAGTTCTTATGTCTTAAAGTTGATGGAGTTTATCCGGAGGGGGGTTTTGATAACATATTGTTATTGCAAAGGTTTAATATGCCTTCCTTAAAGCAACGCCGTGATATTTTGTCCCTTAAGTTTTTGTACAACTTATTTCACAATGTGATTGATTGCCCTGATTTGCTGTCACAATTTAATGTTTTAGTTCCTATTATTAGGGTTAATTTGTATTTTTATTCATTTCCAGAAACTAATGTTGGTTCAAGATGCCCTGTTTCAGCCATGTGCAATATTTTTAATAGAATCTCTAATTATTGTGATCTTAATTACGATTCATGGAAATTTATCATTAGTGTTTATGTTGAGCATGGTAATGAATAGAATTTTTTAATGTTAAGTTTTCATTATTTTATCTTTATTATTTTTAGTATATGTATGTTTAGGTAATTATGTATTTGTTATTTGTCCTGTAATTGGAATTTTTCTGTTGGGCAATAAACATTATTATTATTATTATTATTACTTCTTGAATTTCCTGTTGCAACATCTCTCTTATATCCGCGAATACACCGGTTTTTGACCGTTTATTTTTTGCGTGCCAGATTAGGTTTCCTTATGGCCTAAGTCGTGCAATCTGGTTATCTATCTTTTTTGAGATAAAATCTTTATTAAAGTGTTTTCTTTGTTTGTGTGTTCTAATGGACAGACTTATTTTCTTAATATTCAAAAATTGGCATTCTGTTGCGTGCCACGAGATCAGTGCCGGTAGGTTATTAAAAGTCTTACCATGACTGTCGGTGTACCATTGTAAAATGCCTGATGACAGTCCCCAAGTTTTAACAAATGTCCTTTTACAGGTCATAAAGGCTTTTATTTAACCTTATCTTTCAAAAGCAGTATCTTTGGTTAAGTATGTTTTTGTGTAAAAACTTTTTTTAACTTAAAAGAAATAATCAATCAATATTTAATTTCATTCTTTTAATTATAAATATTATGATCATATTTAATTAGAGTACCTACATTTTAACGGAAAGGCAATTTCTACATTTATAAAAATTACTTTTAGCATACAAACATAAAAATATAAAAAATGTAGTTGATTTGTAATAATTATGTGTGGGCAATATTCAATATATTAATTTAAAATAATAAACCTATAATTTCTGTCAGAGCAAAAACAATGAAAAATAACCCACATATGTATCAAACTCGTAGGAAGTAATAAAACTATAAATCATTTATTGGAAATAAATATTGGCTTGCCAATACTAAAAATATATGGAAAATCTGAGATCTACAATAAACCGTGTAATTAGTGATATACCGATAAAATCTAAGTTCGATATCAGCTGTCACGGTTTAATAAGATATTTTATTTGTCAGCAATTAACTCGTAATTAAATTGCACGAGCTATATAATTGCTCTGAAAATAATTTGTTATTATATTCATGAATTTTAAATGGCCATATTTGCATTCTAAAAGAGGTGTGCTACTTACTAGCTGAATTATTAGATACATATTCATTTAATATTATCGGTGATTAGTTTGCATTAAGTTATTGGTGCACTTAGTAGAATATTACTTTTATAATAACCTATTATTATTTTTCTATATAAGAATTTTTGGTTATATCAACGAACAAATAATAACAAACTTTACACACTTAAAATAAAAGTTATTAGTTTTTTTTTGTTCACTAAGTGAATGTTTATCCGTATATCATATTAACAAAAAATAGCCTAATTTTTAAAATTGCCTTTTATTTATATTATTAGAATATCTTGTTTGGAAAAAAAAAATTAAATTTTGATTTGTGGAAAAACATAGACCTAAAGCATCGTTTACATCCACTTTAATAATTATAATTAATTATTAACCTAACGCACGTAAAATACGATACGTAAAAAATTAGGAAAAGCTGCGTCGTTTACATCCAGTGGATTCATTAATTTTGATCGATTACGCGCATGCGTGGTTGCACTGTTTGTGATCTAACCTAACATATTTCTGTTATTGTTTATTTTTGCGATTGTATGCTAATATGGATAACTTTGACTTACAAGATTGTTTAATATTATTTATAATAAATGCCTGTGTTGCCGCTTCATTGTTGATAGTGAAATACACGAAAACCCAGAAGGTACTCTCTTAAAATGAATTAGTCAAAAATAACTAATTATAAGTCATATTTGACTAATTGTCATAGCGAAAAAGCAGTCACTAATAATTAGTCAAATTCTACTGAATGAAATAGTCAAATTAGTAGATTTAAATTTAAAACAGATTTTGACCCAGCCGGGGATTGAACTCAGTTCTGTCACTTGTCAAGCTTGTCAAGCTGTTGTCATAACCCATTCGGCTATCAGCCGCTCTTATAAAAATCAATTTTATTTGTCAATAAATATTGTTCATAATATTTTAAAGTTGAATATATTATTTGTGTTGCTGTTTTGAGCTAAACTAAACGTAGTAAAAAATAACTATTTAAAAGTGAAAACGACTATTTCATTTTTAGAGAGTAGGTATTAAAATGTTTTTGCAAATTATTAATAATTTTAATATATCCTATAATAAATAGGTGGTGGATACGACCCATTTATCGAATTCAACTAGGGGATTTTCACAATTTAATGGAAGAAATGAGACTTTATGATACTGAAAAGTTCTTTCATTACCTATACCAGATTGTCTGTAGAGCAGTTCGATCATCATCATCATATCACTAAAAAGAGCAATAGGACACCACTGGGGGCTGATCAACGGCCTTATCCAGGAAATTTTTTAAATAAAAGCCAAAGTATTTTTAATGCCAGGCGCATAATAGAAAATACATTAGGTATCCTAGTGTCCAGATGGACCTATTATTGGCAATGTAAATAATGCAGACAAATACATTCAGGCCACTGTATGTATACATATTTTTTTAAATATTTGGGCAGAAGCAAATCCCAAAAAGGAAAATAAATATTGCCCATCAAATTATATTGACAAAGAAATAAATGGTTTCTAGTACAAAGAATACCAAGATTATTACCAATAATTTAATTTTAGTAATTTCTAGGTAATTTACAGTTGGGGAATGGAGAAGCAATGTTTATGTTCAACCTATCCGTCGATTGGGTAGTAAAAATACCAAAAAGAAATTTTTTGAAGTTCGTGATCAACTGGCAAATTATTTTTGTAATGAGGGGGCAGTTCCTTGGCAAGAAGATTTAAAATTAAAAACATACACAATTAATAAAACATTTATTAAAACACTGTTTATTAAGTTATCATCTTCATCCTCCATCATTGAAAATATCTTAAAATGTCTTTTGTTACCTGAATTTTTAAGTTTCCTTAAAAAGGATGTTACCTGCCTGCCAAATAATTCGTCGTCAGATTGGGGAGTAAAAGCCTGCTCATGAACTTGTGAACAAGATGACTGTCTACCCTCTGACTCCGATTCAGTCTCTTCTTGGAAAAACAATATGTCTCTTTCTGGTTGCACCGGTAAACTTGATTTAGTTCTAAAAAATATACATATGCATATTAATGTATGTCCAATTTTAAAAATAAACATTTAATCTTACTTTCTTTTCACAATAAACATTTCCAACCAACTTAATGACTGGAACCATTCCCAATCAGGGCCGTATCAGATATGATTTTCCTAATAAGGCCAGGCCAGGATCGAAGTGCCCCAACAGGGCCGGATAACGTCGACTAGTTCCAAATCTGACGAAGTCGAGCGTTACACATCCTGCCCTAGCCGGATCCAATTACCGGATATTTTGTATGGAAAATCAGATCGGTCCCGGATTGGAATCGCTGCTCGGGAAGATCGGTCGCACGTGCGATAAAGTAGGGGGAAGTTATGCAGCTTCTCTGTAAATTCTTATCTTGCTGGTCGGTGAGGAATCGAGAATTTTATTAGGGAAACGCGCACACATTTAGTGTGCTCTAAAACCAGTTTGCTACGGATTGTCTTGTTTTAATTTCGTAATTCGTGGACGTTCCTGCGTTTATCAATTTAATAGGGCTTTTATTATTACTTCTCTGTTGCATTAATATTTGGAGTACTGAGTAATGAGACTGTTATTGACAAGTTTTCTGCAAATAAGGACAGAAGAATGGACTTTAAGTTTAAACACTGTACCTACACAATGATAAAATATAAATTAGCATTTTTTTCTTTAGTACACACATTTTATTATTTGATTTGATATATTTTTTTAAGTCTTAAAAAGTAATTATAGTCGTGCAAGTCACAAAAAACTCCCTGCCGCTTTTTAAATTTGTAAACCTTCTTTATCATAGATCACGAGCCGCCACTGGTCACGTTGGACCCCACAATACCAGTTTGGATGCAATTTATCTTAATTTTAAATTGTTGAATAAAATCGAAATACGATTGTTGTATTGTCAGGTGGCTTTCGTTTGAACACTCTCCTCCTGTTGTGACAGTTTATGTACTTTTCAGTAACTTTCAGTAACCCTTCAAAGGGGGACACGTAGTTTATGGACGGCCAATTTTAACTAGGATAAACAGGAATCTTAAGTAAATCTTTCTGCATAAATTATTCAATTAATTTTATCCCACATATATTTTATAAGATTAAGATAAAGACTTTGTGCTATAAACATTAAATCCACCTTATCTTTAGACAACCAGATTTTATTTAGTTAGAAAAGTGAATTTTTAACTTCTTAAAAAGCCCATTTTTATTAATTATTTTGAACAACAAAAACCAAAAATGGTGGTCAAATGTAAATGTAAAATTATGGATTCTCTAATAATAAACCATCCTGAGAAGGAAAGAAAAAGAACAAAATCCAACGTGAAGTAAACGTTGGATTTTTTCTTTCTTCATTATTATTATAGTCCATAATATAGAGCCTATAATATTGACAATACTTTTTAAAATTAAAATAAAAAAATATATTTTCCTGGTGCTAAAAGCTGTCCTGTTAAACCAAATTTTAGGTTTATCATTATTAATCATATATGCATTCTTTCATATGAAGAATTTCATTTACAAACTAAATTTTTTTAAATCCGTGTGTATGTACTATGCTACACACACAAAAGTGCCACCACGAGACTTTGACACAAATTATTTAATATAATTAAGGTTAATTTTTTGTCAGGATTAAGCTTATATCATCTTATTTTCTAAAAATGATACAATTTGAGTAAAAATTTTGTGTTTTAAATTTTATACACAAAAATAGGTAAATTGAATTGTTTTCAGAAAATAGGACGAAATTAGCTTGACACTAACAGACACTTAACTTTAATTATTTGTATCAAAGTCACGTGGCCACTTTGTGGTGTGGACCATAGTACTAACAAAATTTACACAAAAAAAGTGCTGTGCATTGTCCAATTGACAATTTATAGATAATTATTGTATGCAAGTTTTGTTTGCGTTTATAAACATTTGCCTTAAATTTTTTTATTGTTTGTAAATTTACGTATGCATATCCTTCTTCCATTTTGGTTCTATATAAAAGGAAGCAAATGCCTTTCCATATGAGTAAAACATTATCCAAGAACAAAGCATTATAAATTAAATGCGTCATGCACGTTGTTCCAGCAAGTGTACTATAAATCTAAATTACTCAAAACATGAAACGTTACGCCGTATGAGGCAGACCATACATAACTTAATGCAAAAAAATCCGGCCATTTTTTACTATATTTTAGCGCACAATTTGTTACGTAAACTTTAAGCGTTTTATTGTTATTACAAATTATGGTGTACCTAATTATACTAGCAAAGAAACATGTGCGTATTTTAAACTAATTGTAGTACAGGAGTGCGTGATTGTGTTAATGGGTTTTCTACCATAAATTTTGATAATTGTTATCATAAAGCAGGTCAGTTTTTCTGAATATTTTACAATTTAATACAAAAATTCATAAATTCATGTTTGCAGAAAGTTTCAAAAAATAATTGTTTTTATGAGGCAAGCTCACAATTAAACGAAGCACTAAGTCCGAATGGCATAAATTTTATTTTGAAGCCACAATTTTATTTGTTAAAAAATACATAAAACTTTTTTAAAGTAGAAAGGAAGGTTAGTCGAATTTTATGATTGGTCTAGAGTCTGGACCAATCATAAAATTAATATTTTAAAGTAAAAACCAGAAATTTATTTTTTCAAACGTGGCTTGAAAGAAGTTATTGAAATTGTTACACCCTGTACGAAATTTACTTGAAGAATCGTGAGCTTCATATCTATAGTATGAATTGCCAGAGGATGGGGCTAGCAGACATCACAGACCAAAATAAAATCGTTTAAGAAACAAAAAAGTTACGTCATTTTGAAAAAGGACGAACTTTTTGGTCGCGACACATTGAGTGGTGCGCAGTTTAGTATAAGGCTAAATTTAATATAAAAGGACATTTTTTAACAGTTTCAGAGTAAGGAGAGCTCTAAGACAAATCTAGAACATTTTGACAATTTTAAGAACAGTTTTAAATTATGTTTATTTTTAAACAGAATTACATCTTTAAAACATACTTTGTCAGATTGTTTGATTTTAGGACATTTATAGATATATTTAGGGCATTTTAAAGAATTCTATAGTGGTTTTGTAACATTTTGACAATTATAACAAAATTGAGATTTTTAAATACTTAACATCTTTTAGAACCCAAGGAGGTAGGTAGGTAACATTATGATTTCCAAAAGTAACAACAAAGTGATTAATGCTATTTAGATAATTTTTAAGGAATACAAAAATACGAGTTAATTATTTTTTGGCAATATTCAGAATCATTTTTCTCTCGATAAATTTCTCGGATGTATATATAAAATCTGCAATAAAACAAGTCTTAAATCCTTTTAAAATATCGGCAAAATAAATTTAGATTATTTGCAAAACTGTTTGCAGCTTAAGTGGAAAAATAAAAGCAAATTATTTTCTATCAAAGCATTTAATATGGACTAATGTAAGCGGATTTGCAGGATTTGTTCGGTTTCTCGATAAATCCATTTAGTAACAAAAGTTTCAGAAAGGCGTTTAAGCAAGTTAAGTCGAAAATTAATTTGATACAACTACATTTATTAATTAATCTACAAATAAATTAAATTTTAAAAATTTAAATATAAACCTCACAGCTTATTTTACAACAGCAATGGTTATTTTTGGCACATCAATGAGAAGTGCTAAAAAGTATAGTAAGTAATATTCTGCACAATAAAGAATACTCCCAAAAGTGCATTGTTTTGTGCATTAATGGATACTGTAAACATGTATCTATAAAGTAAGACCTAAGAGAATATTTATATGTTTATAAACAGGATAAACCTATTATTTTTATGTTTAAAATCTTAATGTTTTAAGGTCTTGGTCTGCCACTGTCCGAGATCCCTAGGAATCTCAAAATATTGTTAAAATGTTACCCTTATTATTTAAAAAAAATATATTTTGGGATTCCTGGAGGTCTGGGAACTGTCGTGGGCCCGGGGCTGCAAAATAAAATGGAGGCACTAAGTATGCTTAGACTCAGTCCCTCTAAGAAGTGATTTTTATTATAAATACTAAAAGTGTTTTTTTATCCTTTGCAACCGCCCCCCACTACCCTAAATAAAATCAATAATATTAAAATTGATTAGGTACACGTCTTTTTCAGCAAACTTATATTTAAACTTGATAATTTTTGTTCAAAACCATGGGGCCCACTCATAACAGTTCTAGATTAAAAATTACACATACCCACAATCCACACAACAAGGTCTGTTCGATCTCGTAGTAAAAATACTAAAAATCACTGCAACACTGCACATCATTCAATGGCGGCCATTTTTGTTGTTTACAATTCTTGTGCTTTGGGTTTGTAGAGATTAATAATCGTTTTAAATGTTGTGTTTCTTACAGAGAGACTTGCAAGCCTTAAAAGAGACCTCAAAGTGGTGAGAACAATCATTTTACTCCTCTTTTGTAAAAAATAAATCTTAATCTATCAGGGCTGTCAAATGTCAATTTGAAGGTTAATTTGTGGGTTATGAAATATTACTTTAAACCGCCCCTTACAACCCATCAATAGTTACGCGTCTGGGTGTAGCCTACACCGTGTGCCTATAATTAAACTTAGGCTTTAACAACATCCTAGTATATAAGTCATTGCCATGTCCTAAAAATATGCCTTAATAATTATTGTATGTAATTTTTTTGCATGCGTTCGGGGGCCCCCGGTTTTAACTGCCTTTTCCTGAACAAACAAATTACAATTTTTATTATACTGTTGGTATTGGGGGACCCCCACCCGGGCAAAAATACCAGTAAGTTAAAGTTAAAAGTTAAAATATTTTTCAACAAAAAAATGGTTTTAGCATGTTTATGGAAAAGCTACATATATGTTTTTATGATAAATTTAACAAAATACCTATGTATTCACCCTTTTAAATTTTCTCGGTTAAGAGATCAATATATTTAAATCGGTTGTAATATTGGGTTAAACGAACGAAATTTGCAAGTTAGAAATGCATTTGCAGTGGAAGCCGAATTCAAATGTAAATTTGCTCACTGCGAACAATCCCTAGGTTAATAATTGTAACTGCCATTGTTTCATTGTAGTCTCTTTGAGGCGTCGCGGGCCT